CGATTCTCTCTCATGACCCTATTCCTATTATACCACAAAATGTAAAATCACATACCAAACTTAAACAATTTCAATTATCAGCCGTATACTTGTTGGACCCAACAAAGAATGAAAACTTTGCACAAAAAAAAAATAAAAAAAAAGAATGAGAACTAAAATTAAAAGAGGAAATCGAACCAGATCTAAAACATAATAAATTGTGAGAAATAAATACGTTTCCTGTAAGGCATTAGTGATTACCTCAAATCATTTCCATAATATTGATTTGTTGCCTTCCCAGCAAGACCTTGGAAATTAAAAAAACAAATAACAAAACTGAAATTCGTGAAAAATATATCAACAACAATACTACCCAGCATGAAAAGAAGAATGTAACCCCAACTCTGTCCAAAACGCGGAGAATCAAGAAGAGACATGCATCAAAATGAAAAATTAGTTTTATAAATGATTTGAACAGCAGTCCCTTTTGCAAGCAATAGAGCCCTGGATACATAAAAAAAATTGAACACCTATAAACATTGAATTCATATCAGTGAATGAAAGCAGACCAAACATTAAAAGTGCCCTTCCAATTCGGTATACGAGTCCTCAAAAAGTAGAAATTATGCAAAGAACTGGATGTATACAAATTCAGATAAGTAAAAGATAGAGCAACGGCTAGATAAGTGTAAATGGCTTCATCTAAAACTGGATCACCGAGAAAAGAATAACAAGCATCACCATTACCACACTCTTCAACTTAAAATCCATAAAAATTAAAAAATTAAACCTAAAAAACAAATCATATTCCCAGAAAAAGACCTAGAAATTCTTTTTTCAGTAACTTCCCCAATTTCTATATAATTCGTAAATAGATATTACAAAAAACATAATTAGGGCTTACAAGGGAGGAAGAGAGATTGACTGAGGGGTGAGCGAGCCACTGAGAGAGCACGAGCTAGCCACAGAGATAGAGAAAGAGAGGCAGAGCAAGAGTGAGAAAGAAAGAGAGAAATCGTGAGAGTGAGAAGGAACGAGAGAAGAGAGAGAGAGAGTGATAATGAAAATGAAAGTGAGAGAGCGAGAGTGCGAATGAGAAAGAGAGAGGGCTTTTGAAAAATTGGGGTTTCACTCGTGAAAAATCATATCCCGCTTTTATTTTTAGTGCCCGCCCATAATCGCTTCTTTTTTCTCTTATAGCGTTTCCTCTGCTATAACTTAATGCTATCTTCATTTTGTATTTTTTATTTATTTTTTTTGGTCTGAGACTAGCTTGTTTAAAGTGTCAGCTTTTGTTTTCTCTCTTTTTCTTTTTTTCCTAAGGGTGTTTTTTAGAAAGTGTCAAGTCACTACTACAAAAAATGAAATAGACGATGGGGATCCACCGTCGTTGTAATGCTTTGAAAACCGTCGTTAAATCGACCGCCATCTTTTTGGGTGTCAAACTACGACGGCTTTTCACCGTCGTTGTTTATCTGTAAAGACGACGGTTTTTAAAGAAACTCGTCGTTGTTTAGAGGTAAAGATCGTTAATTATATGAGGAAAGACGATGGTTTTTAATAAAATCGTCGTGTATTGTAGGTTAAGATGACGATTTTTTATGAAAACCGTCATCTTTACATATAATAGACGACCTTTTTTTTTTTAAACCGTCATATTTACTTCACAATAGACAACCCTTTTTAAAAAAAACCGTCATCTTTACATATAATAGACGATCCTTTTTATAAAAACCGTCGTTAATTATCTATAAAGCCAACGGTTGGTTTATAAAAACCGTCATTAATTATCTGTAAAGACCATGATTTATTATGAAAACCGTCGTCTAATAAGTTCCCAAACTGCTACATTTTAGTTCTTTTTTATTTCATATGATGCTATACAACAATTTTAACTGGAAAACCAACCATAATGCTTTATTAATGAATATATACACTCAAAAATAGTTTCTTTCATAAAACTTGAAGATTCAATAGTTATTACATAGTTAACCAATCTTTATTCTACAACAAACATAATTCCTACCAATTAAGTAGTACAATCTTTTCCTAACAAGACCTACGTACTCCTAATCCAAGCCTTCCTCATCCAAACAGACAAATGATGCACAACTGAAGTCTCCTCCAGCATCCCTGTAAATAAATTAAAATGACAAAGAGAGAAAAAAAGCTAAGATCATAAACATATAAAATTAGGTGGAAGAGAAATTTTACCATTGGACCATATTTCCATTCCATAGAAAACTTGTAAAATGAGCATACAAAAGACCATCGAGAACCTGCAAAAGGAAAAATATATAAAGAAAATGATGGTGAAAAGAGGAGGTAACAAATTTTCAACAACAAAAAAACATACGACTCACATAGAAAACCTGCAAAAGAAAAAGTTATAAATCTGCAAGCTTCCTCCTCATCTCCTAAGAACCAAATCAGAAAATCTAAAAAGAAACCAGAAATAAAAAAAATATGTAAACAAACCAGACAAATCAAGAGAGACAGAAAATCTGAAATCATGGAAACAAAGAACATCACAGAAACGCAAAGAGACTAATCCAGAATTCACAAGCAAGATATAGAAGGGTATTGAGAGATTAGGTGACTTTCAAATCAAACCTTTCATGAGGGTGTTTTAGAGAGCTCAGGAGGGTTTCAAGGAGGAAGAGATAAGGTTTTCAGAGACGGGGGAAAATCTGAAAATTTGTCGAGCGCGAATTCACTTAAGCGGCCATTTTTTAGCGTGTTTTAAAAGACGACGCTTTTTTAAAAAAAAACCGTCATCTTTACATATAATAGACGACCCTTTTTTTATAAAAAATCGTCGTCTTTACATATAATAGACGACCTTTTTTTTTTAAACCGTCATCTTTACTTCACAATAGACAACCCTTTTTATAAATAAAAAAACCGTCATCTTTATATATAATAGACGACCCTTTTAAAAAAAAACGTCATCTTTACATATAATAGACGACCCTTTTTAAAAAAAAAAACCGTCATCTTTACATATAATAGACGACCCTTTTTATAAATAAAAAAAAAGTCATCTTTACTTCACAATAGACGACCATTTTTAAAAAAAAAAACCGTCATCTTTACATATAATAGACGACCGTTTTTAAAAAAACCGTCATCTTTACTTCACAATAGATGACCCTTTTTTTTTTAAACCGTTAATAGACGACAGTTCTTTCAAAACAACCATGTCTTTACCAAAAAAAGGACACTTGATTTTTAAAAGACGACGCTTGTCATACCTGCTGTCGTTGTTTTTTGGTCAGATTTTAACTCTGAGGAAAACCTTTTTAATAAGACGACGCTTTTTTATTTGGGTGCGTCGTTATAAAAAAATATTCAACAGTACCTCCGTTTTTTAGTTGTTTAAGTCACTTATCCACGACGGTTTTTTGTTACTGTCGTCTTTTTAAACACAACGACGGTTTTTTCTTCTACCGTCGTCTTTTTCTGGTCGTCTTTTTCACTTTTTGTAGTAGTGAGTATACAAGGATTTTAATTGACGTTTTTTTATAAAATGTCAAGAAAAAGTGATATAGAGTTGACGTTCTTTATTAAATGTCAAGGAAAGTGATATATAGTTGACGTTTCTTGTAAAACGTCATGAAAACCTACTATATAGTTGACGCTTTTTAAAAAGCGTCAAAGCTTCATAGAATAGGTGATGGTTTTGCAAAAAGCGTCAACTATGAAGTGTCAACTAAGGCCCATTTTCTTGTAGTGAATAAGCTTTGAGACTCATTAAATGCATTTTGGAGACAAGTTAGCTCAAAATGGTGTCTGCAGATCAGTCAACTTCACGGATTGGATTGTTCTTGCTCAAGAAGAACCAGATAATGAGACATACATCATTGGAAATATGCGGAAGTCTAGTTTCTGGAGAATTTTACGGTTCATGATTCCGAGTCTTCCAGAGAAAGTTATACAAGTTTTAGCAACTTAAGGTCAAATTCGGCAGCATCTGCGTTACTAGGCCAAAAATGACATTTGAAGCTCTTTCCGATTTTTCCTTGAGCTCGGCTGCATATGCTTGGAAAGATAATTCAAAGAGCTTCAAGATCCATATTTTTCCAGATTTTTCAGAATAGAGGAACAAGTCCAAAACGAGCCCAAAAGAATATTGCAATGCATTGTCACGCATGACATATGCACGAGCTAATTGCTTGTGGTGGGATTTGTAAGTGGAATTTTGCAGCAGCCAAATGAATTAAAAGAAGATGAAGTGGGAGCTACACACTAAGCCTAAAGACAAGAGGAATTGTTTTCAAATGCAATTGTGTGTTAGGAGAAGTGAGTGGTGATTAGTGCACTCAATTGTATAATTAGATTCTTACTTCTCCTAGGCCTATAAATAGAAAGGTTTTCCAAGCTTGTAAACACACCCCAAGGGGGGGAGCTCTCAAACACTTCTCTTGAGCTCCCCTCCCTTCTCTCCCTCAAATTCTCTTAGTTTTGTTTGTGCTGAAATTCTTCTTAAGTTTTTCTTAGTTCCACTTTACTTTTCTTTGTTTGTAAATTCTTTTCTTAAGTTTTCAAGTTTGATTAGTTTCCAAGTTTCAATTATGGTTTTTGTTCTTATTCATTATGCTTATAAGTTAATATGCTAGTTTGAATGATTGATCACCATTAAGGCTTGCATGTTAGCTATCTTGGTTTGAATTAAGAGTAGACACCATGCTTTAATTCGAATTGAACTATGAATAGGAAGAGTATGTATGGACATTTGACAACAGGGATTATATACATACTTGGTTGTTTAAAATGTTCTTCTATGCTTAATGGATTCCTAGTGCTTAATTTTAGGTTAGACAACAGATGATCAAATTAGGGAATTAGGAATACAAGGTTAGGACCAGACACCATGGCTTAATCATACTTTAGCTAGAATCAATCCGTTAATCTAAATTGAACTTGGGAACCTATTTGCTTGAGTTAGTTTTTCTTTTCTTTCTTTCTTTCTTGTTTTATTTATTTCCTTTCTTTTTCATTTCTATTTTGTGTAGGGAAAATGAATTGGATCATTCAATCACCAATCCTCGTGGGATCGACCTTACACTTACATATGCTATATTACCAAATGGCTTGTGCACTTACGAGTATCACAAGTTAAGGATGCAGCTGAATCAATTTTGGTGCAGGTAATCCGACGACAACACTGCTGGAAATGAAAATGTCTCAATGCTCCCTATTACCTACTCGAAACAAGCCAATTCCAACAATTCCTTTCACCCATAGGAAATAGTCATTTTCCAATGCCTCACTTTACCTTCTGAAAATAAGAATGTTCAATGCTCCCTTTTACCAGTTGGAAATAGATTAGGTCCAACACTTCCTTTTACCCATTGGAAACCAAAGAGAGCCTTCACCTTCTATAAATTGAGAGGCATTGCTCAGCCAAAACGAACTCCTCTTGGTTGCTGCAAGCTTCTCAGCAACCATGAGAACTCCCATTTCTTCAACTGCTGCAAGCATTCCAGTAACCTTTATAGTCATTCATGAGCCATCAACCTCCATCGTTGGGTTGCTGGAAGCATCCTAGCAACCATTGACCAACATCTCCTAGTTGCTCAAGCACACTAGCAACCATCAGACCACTTCACTTCCTCCCTTCGGCTGCTGCAAGCATTCCAGCAGCCATCCCAGCCATTCCTTCGCCATCACAACCATGTCTCCTACTTTTTCACCCTTGAAATGCATCATCTTCTCTATAAAGCCTCACCAATCATAAATCCAAGCTTTTCCTTCCTTCCAAGCTATAAAGAACATAGCCTTCAAACCTCAAGCTTTTCCTCTCATCTTCATTCTCTTGAAACTCTTAAATCACCATAGCCATAGCCATAAACAATAAATTCTCAACACCCAAACTCAATCATATCAAACTCCAAGCCAAGCATAAGCATTCTCATTTGCTAAACTTGTGGGTCTTTAGCTCCCACACTCCAAGCTCTCATGCCAAGCTCATATAATCTCATATCAACATTAGCAAGTCA